GCTACCACCATGTTTGCAAGCAGACCCTTGAGCACTTAAGCAAATTTAATCGCTAAAATGGAAATTAAGCAGACGTAAATGATTTGGTCAATAAAAATAGTATTCACAACAGATGGAATGATCAAATGAAGCAAAAAATGATTGAGACAGTGATGCCCATGGACGTCCAAGAAATGTTTATAATAAAGACGACGACTTTCTGATTTAGTACAAGAAAATTAGCGTAAAATTTACTGAAAGGTTGAAAAAATTGCAACAGAATAGATAAAAATATGAGAAAATCGTAATTTCATCGTAATATGTCATATTTATGAATAAATTTGCAACTTCTTACTAGATCGCCACGAAGGTTTTTAATACTTAGTAACCAATGAATGTATTACTTTATAAAATAATGCTAATATTTTATAAAAGTGGCCGCCATCTTGGATTTAAAATGGTCACCATGTAAAAAATATATTTATCTATATCTCCGCTTCTAAACCAGTTGAAATTATAATTCTAATGTCCAAAAATATGTTTTCATGGTAAGAAATACTATCATACAATTTTTGACTCCGTCAGATTGTCATAAATAGGTCATTTAGGGTCATTTAAGGTCATTCAAGGTCATTACATGTAAAATATTGTATGGTATCTTAATAATGGAGGCCAAAGTGTCGTGTTTTACATCAGAAACATACTCAACCTCTTGGAATTAAGTTTTTTGATAGGAACTACAGTATTTTATTCAATGTCATTTTGGCGGCCATCTTGGATTTCAAGATGGCTACCATACATAACCTACAGGTATATTTTTTTTAATATTTCAGCTTGTAAAACATTTCAAATTAGAATCCTGATGCCTAAAATTATGATAGATCGCTGAATAAAATGTAAAATATTTAAGATTTTATATTTAGTACCGGTACTGTACATTCTCAAATGTTATGTAAATCTTATATATCCTAAAATTACGTTATATTCATCCACCGAAGTAGAAAGGTTAACTTAATAATTTTGATATGTTTTTAATGATAGTCCTATTATCCAATCCAATCAGAACATTTGTAAAGCGCCTTTCTTTGCAGATACGAAGCGCTGCACCCCACATATTTAGGCACCTCACAACATTATTATTACAGTCTAATATGACCACAACATAAGGAAGTCCTCTCCATTAACTTCTAACCTACTATACTTTGCGTATATATTTTCTAGAAGTCCACTCGTTAAATTAGTATATAGGCCTATAGTATAGAGAATTTTGTCAATCTCAGATATCCAAATTTTAGAAAATTACGTTTTATGCATGCACCGACATGAGAACTTTAACCTAATAACTTTGATATGTAGGCCTATATGTTTTATGTTGTTTGTTGAATAGACTTATTTAATAATAATATTACAGTCTAATATGACCACAACATAAGGAAGTCCACTCTGTAAATGTTTATCATAATATTGTACAGAGAATTTCGATTGTTTATCAATATCATCATGTTAGATCCAAATCACGGTTTATGCAAGCATCGACGAGGAAAGATTAAACATAATAATTTCGATATGTACATGTTTTATATTATGTGTGTTGATTGGTGTTAGTTAATAATATTACAGTTTAATGGCTTAATGTTAATACTATGACAGTTTAATAGTTTACAATAATATTACAGTTTAATGGCCCCGAAACCCGACGTGAGGCCTTTGGCGGCCCCCTAGCCCCAATTATCAGTGCACACGCTTCGCTCGCAACCTGACCATAATGTACGGTATTATTTATTTAATAAAATAATATTTAATTTGTATACAATACAATTTTATCACTGAGAGAACAAATAATGATGTCAAAATATTGTATATGCATGGAGGCTTCATGATCAAAAGTTCTTGCCAGGATTTGGTATGTTGGCCCCTGGCGCGGCTGGGCTGCTGGGCCGCGGCTTGGTGCCTGAAATCGTAATTAGGCCGTGAAGTAAAAAGTTTGCGGAACGCTGTTTATAATGCCATGCAATAGAAAGTTACCATTTACCTATTCGCTATACTGTAATACTACTCCACAAACTCATTAGGTCTAGCTATTTTAAGTTACTGTGCGGTAGCCTACATTGATTTTACATGTTGATATATCATTCGAGATCCAGCAACCTGAAGATAATGCAAAGAAGAAATATATCTTATAGATCTCTGGCAGTATACTCACGTGCAATATTAGTGCTATATCAAAATGGTGACGTTGGATTCAGATAGAATATCTAACCTCAGCCCCACCATGGTTAAATGTTTATATCCAATTATCACCTTCACCTAAAATGGACGTCATAACGACGTCTGATGAAATAGTTAAGATATCATATGGTATTTAACATAAAATGACCTTGAATGACCTTAACTGACCTATATATTATCCTAATAACCATCTATATATTTATATATAGATGGTCATATGTATATCTTCTTGACCACAAAAACATAGTGTTAAATATCAGAATTCTAATTTGAAGTGATTTTAAAAGCTAAGATATTAATAAATATAGTTTTTGCACGGCAGCCATTTTGAAATTAAAGATGGCTGCCAAAATTAGCCTGAATTAAGTACTGTAGTTTCTAGTAAAAATGAATTTGAAGAGCTTATTAGAGCTAATTGAAGAGGTAATTATTAAGATGCCATACAATATTTGACCCGCAATGACCTGGAATGACCTTAAATTAATGACCTTAAATGAAGAATCTGGTCAGATTATTTAGTTAATGACCTTAAGTTTTACCTTAAATGAAATGCTAGTATTCCTTGGCCATTTAGACACTATAATCATAATTCCATGTTAGAAGAGGAAATAATACCGTGGATAATAAGGTTTTATAAGGTGGCCATTTTGAAATCTAAGATGGCTGCCATAATGACCTCCGATAAAATGGTTTCTGTGAAAAATTGAATTCTATGACCATAGGAAGCATGTAAAAAGTTGGTGTTTTGTCCAAAACGTCCATATAGCACCATAGCTGCTTGGCGTATTATGCATACACCAC